TTTTCAGCAGGGACTGAAATGTTCCAGTTACATTTACCTTAAAGTCAGTAGTCTTCTCATGCTTGTTTTCCCAAATGCTGGCAAGTTGCTTTAAAAGGGTAATTAGGCCCATTACCCCTTCCCTCCCTCCCAGCCTCTCAAATATATGTATATCTGACAATACAGAAACATTTAAGGAATAAAAGTTACATAATACACTTAAATCAGACAAATTTAACACCCATATTCAGAAAAGTTCCTCTATAGTTGAATTAAAATGTAATTTTTAGATAGGTGTGTGAAAGATCAACTCGTAACAATACCAGAGTAAATGTCAAAATGTGCTATTTTTTGTGCTATTAAGGTTTACATATTAAAATTACTATACATCTGACTTAGTTAAATGTCAAACTGCCACATAAAAGATCACACAAAAGATTGAACACCATATTTATTTTAATACTGTTCTGATGCGTCACGTATGTGTTTGTTTCAGAGCTCTAGTTCAATCTTGACATCCATTTTACTCTTGTATGGCTCTAGAACAGGCCTGACCTCCTCAGACAAAAACCTTGTAACCTGAGACAAAGAAAAAGTGGAACGGTATTACAGCTCACATCATTCACAAAAACATAAAACATGTGATAAACATTAGTAGCACAGCAGTGTAATGATATATAGGTATGCGTGTGTGTACCTGTTGTGGGGCTCGGCCGATGAAGGTCTTGGGGTCCAGTATGGAGTCCAGCTGTCCGAGTATGGGGGTGAAATATGGATCAGCCTGAACCCGAGCCAGCAGGTCATTATCCCCCCCTTCCTGTTTGACTACAGCTGCAGCTTGCTGGGACAGCACCCGAATCTTCTCATGGCAGTCCTGAGTGTGTTTTCATTACACACAAAAATCAGTCAGTCAGTGATAAACATCCGTTTCTTTCCTGCATGAAAGTCTGCAACATCTACTGTGCTTATTTGCCAAAGCAAAATTTAATTACAAGACAAGATTTTTCTTATTCATTAATCACCTGTCTGTTTCCTCCAGCCTTCACCATGGCCATGATGATGTTTTCAGTAGCCATGAAGGGCAGCTCATGACGGATATGCCTCTCAATCACCTACAAAAAGAGAGAAAGAATTATAAAAAAAAAAATTTAAAAAAAGTAAAATAAGCAGTGCTGTCAATTTAATGTGATTTATGAAAGTAATATAAAATTACTTATTCTTAGTGTTTTATTGTATTTTGTAGTTTGCCTTGTTTGCTGTTGTTACATTGATGTTAATGGAGATTTGTAAGGTGACCTTGATTGTCATGAACGGTGCCTATAAATAAAAATGAATGAATGAAAAAAATACATATATTTAATAAATTGTCTAAAGTAAAGTTTTTGAATGTACTAATTGAAGACATTTATAATGTTTCAAAAGATTACATTTCAATTAAATGTTGTTCTTTTGAACTTTATATTCATCAAAGAATGTTAAAATGTATGATAGTTTCCATAATCATATTAAGCAGCACAACTGTTTTCAACAATAAAAATAAAATGTTTCTTGTGCACTTATTCATCAGATTAGAATGATTTCTGAAGGATCATGTGCCACTGAAGACTGCAGTAATGATGCTGAAAATTCAACTATCATCACAGAAATCAATTACATTTTAAAATATCAAAATAGAAAACACTTTAAAGTGTAATAATATTTCACAATATTAATTTTTAATGTATTTTGGTCAAATAAATACAGCCTTGGAGAACATAAGAGACTTCTTTTAATATTTAAAAAATATATATTTTTAACAGTTGTGTATGCAATTAATTATGCTAAATTTATTTGACCAAGTAATCAGTGTATCATGTAGTTCATTTGATTAAAATACACCAATTACCATCTCAATAAAACCTTTAAAATATTTGTTTTGAAGAGATTTTTTACGGAGACAGACACACACACACACACCTTAGGATACACCACCAGTCCTTCAGTGATGTTCTGCAGAGTGCTGAGGATGATGTCCGCTGTGAGGAAGGACTCAGGCAATGAGATCCTCCTGAATACACACAAAAAGAAAATGAGACAGTAAGCTGCTGCAAGAGCGAGTGTAGAGTTACATCTACACAGAGTCAAAACAGTGCAGTGCCACATCGTATGGTCAGACCACAGATATGGTAACAGTGCCTGTTAGCGCTGTCGTCCAGGGTTCTTTCCAGCCACTGCACTGCTGCTGTCTGCAGAGGGTCTGACACCAGCGCCATCAGGTGACGAGCAAGACTGCAGCAGCGCTCCGCACGCATGGGGTTTCTCTTGTACGGCATGGCACTGGAACCTGCAGACAGAGAAAAACATGACGGATCAAAGGTTGATTTATTAAACGATTACATGAAATTCTGTGTCTCGCATGCAAACTCACCAATCTGCTCTTTCTCAAACGGCTCCTCGATTTCTTTCAGATTAGCCAACAGACGGATATCAGTGCAAATCTACAGCAAAAATTGATTGAGAAAAGGAAGATGTTCTAATCAAACAACTGATGTTTGTTGCTGTTCTGTGATCATTGTAGACTTTTACAGCAGCTCATTTATAAATGCATAAAGCTGATCTGAGTTCATTATTTGTGTCTGACCTTATGTACTGTGGCTCCGAGGCTGGCCAGCACACAGAGCGAGTCGATATCCACCTTACGACTGTACGTCTGACCCGTCACCAGGTATGATCTGGTATGAAAATAAGTGGAGGAACTGATTAACCATGTGCACATAAAGTCATATACAATGTAAGATTCTAGCCAACAACACGCTATTGAATAACATGAAGCATTTAGAAGATATCTGAAGCATTTAGTAAACAATGAATGCAGAAAGTAAAGAAGAGTGTACTTTTTAAAACCAGCCATCTCAGTGACCTTCCTATCCAACTCTTCCACCTAACAGAGAAAACAATCAAAAAAGAAATAAATAAATAACGCCAGTTCAACCATAGAATAAACCACAAAGATATGAAGTCATTGACATTTTTCCCAGCAAAACTGCACATTACACAAACCGTTTTAAAGCTACATAAAACCCAAACACAATCAATGCTGATGTTCTGGGGTAACAATGGCAAGAGTTTAGTTTTTACTTAAAAATGTATTCATTACAACAAAGTTGGTCAGTATTTTTTTAATACATATGAAAGAAGACTCTTATATACTCATCATGGCTGCATGTATTTGATTTAAAAAAAAATATTAAGAGTAAAAACAGCAATAATATGAAATATTATTACAATTTAAACGGTTTTCTATTTGAATATATTGTAAAATGTCATTTATTGCTGTGAAGGCAAAGCTGAATTTTCCTCAGCTCTTCATTTAGTGTCACACAATCCTTCAGAAATCATTTCTTAAGCATTTCTTATTAATGTCAATGTTTAAAACTGCTTTCCTATTCAATTTTCCACAGTTTAATATTTTTGTGGAAATCTTGATGTGCTTTTTTCAGGATTTTTTAATTAAAAAAAAAAATCAAATAAACAGCATTCATTTGAAAGAATTTTTTTGTAACAGTATAAAAGTGTTTACCGTCACTTTTAATCGATTTAATGCAACCTTGCTGAATAAAAGTATTACTTATTTTAAATATATATTTCAAAAATATATTGACCACAAACTTTGGAACGGTAGTGTATACAGTATATATGTTGGAGACAAAGTACACACTAGTAGTAGTATATATTTGTTTAATGCCATTTCATCAGCATCTTAGGCTATTTTCACAAAGTACACACTAGGTATGAAGTAAGCCAGTGTTGAGGCATAAAACATTCATGCAGCTGCATTCACCTTCTCGTGATCCCCCTGGAAGAGCTGCAGGAAGCTGGCCTGAGTGCCTGTGGTTCCTTTGACGCCCCGGAAGCGCAGGTCCTCTCTTGCACGCTGAAGATTACGCATGTCCATGACCAGATCCTGCAGCCACAGACAAGCACGCTTCCCAACTGTAGTCAGCTGAGCTGGTCTGAGAAAAAGAAGGGAACGAGGAGAGAGACAATAAAACCCAAAACCAGCCTAATATTATTTAAATGAAGAAAAGTTAGAAAGAATAGGAAGAATTAGCATTGAAAATAATGTTATGCAGGTTACAATATGAGTCAGTGTTGAAGGGTGAGCAGAATGTGTCAGAGATGACAAGAACAGAAGACAAGGAGGAAGAAAAGAAAACGGTAGAAAAGTTATTTTACATGCAAACTCTAAACATGCTATTATATCTAACCGTTTATGTTTCAGGTCTGGGTCATGCACTGAACTCTGAATTTACTCACTGATAATGGGTGAAGCCTAAAGTCGGCAGGTCAGCATATTTCTCTGCAAAGTTCGCAAGCCTGTCTATGACACGAGCCAGCTATAAGAGAGAGAACGCTTACTGCAAGGGGATGGTAATTATGCACTGGAAATAAAATAAATACAATGGAACTAAAACTGAAATAAAAATAACTGAAACCTAAATAGTAATACTGAAAATCCAAAATAAAAATGAAAACAAAGTATTTTTAAAAAAACCTAAATACTAATAAAAACTATAATTGTATATAAATAATAATAAAAAAACACTAGTGGAGGACTAGAGTTGGTGTTCTTTTAATTAGATTAAGAAAGGTAGTTGGTCACAACATTCTTTAAATGTAAAACTTGCATTTAAAAGGCCTAATGATTCATGTATTATTTTATTATTGAATTTAATTAAAATTTTTAACTTGAAGTAAATAAATCATATTTTAAACATATTTGTCCATTTGAAAAGTGATTTATTTCATATTCAATGTTACATTTACCTACATTTTTGAAAATAAATTCAATTAAAAAATGAATTAAATAAAAAAAATTAAAAACAGTTTTACACACATCTATTTGTCAAAACTAAAAAAAAAAAAAAATGATTAATTTATTTCTTTACATTTTTCTGAATTCATACTGTGCACTAAAACTTTTATTTTTACATGGCACCTCTAAGCACCTTCATAAGCATCAGTTGTTTTGAGTGAAATGGTAAATATCAGAAAGTATCAGGTTACCTTGGGTAGCAGGATATCAAATCCATCACGCAGCATTATCAGATCCTACAGATAAAACACACACATGCATTTAGTAAGGCAATTTTCAACATTTTAAAATAAAATTGCGATTTTAAAACAACATTCTTTTTCTTTTGAGGAATTTTCATGGTGGCTAATATATATATATATATATATATATATATATATATATATATATATAGTG